TGGATGATATCGCTGTCAGCGACGAGCATCGAGGAAAAAAAAATGTAGGGTGCATCGCAGGACCCACGACACCCGAAAACCAGCCCGGCACTACCCTCCTCCCACTTCAACGACGAGGACCGCGCAGCGTCGCCTTCAACGTCCCCGGGACTGTTGGAGTACCATCCAGCCGGTCGCCGGGAGGATCTCGTCGGTCTCTTTGTCCTCGGTTGTCTTTCTTTCCCGGAGTCAGCGGGATCTCGCTGCCGCGGCCACTCGCCCGGGCAATCCGCTTTCATCTGCGCGGGACGCGAGGAGGCAGCATCGGCTGGCCGAAGTTTCTCCTGCAAGTCAGTCTTGAGGGATCCTCGACGCCTCGAGGATTCTCGAGGGCAGAACGACGACGACGATCCCGGTGTCCTTCTTCACCTCGCCACTTTCGATATCTTCGTCCTCTTCGTCGTCCACTTCGTCATCCTCTTCGTCATCCCCTTCATCGTCTTCTGTTTCCTTCTTCCCTTCGTCTTTCCCGTGCGTCCCGTCCTCGTCAGCTAGTTCCTTGTTCCGTTCCGCTTGGTCCGCGCCGCCGGCTCGTCGCCGCTTCCACGAGATCCTTGCGCGGCGTCCGTCGACCCCGGGGAATCGCTCGGCCCCCGGCGCCGCCGCGGCCTCGAGTGTTCTCCTTCGTCTCGGCCGCGCCTCGGATCAGACGTGCTGCTGATGGTGATTGTGGTGCTGCTGCTGCTGGCTCTCGTCCGTCTCGCACGGCACCACCGTCAGGCTGGACAGGTTGCTCAGGTTGCTGCTCGACTCGGAATAACTGGACAATGTCGGCCTCCTGGGTGGCACCACCACCGCCGGCGTCGAGCTGCCCGGGCTCGGGAACTTTCGGAACACCCTCAGCAACGAGCTTCCCGCGCTGTGGCAACGGACTATCCGGTCCGGCGCGTCCAGCAACGCCGATTGGCTCCTATACGGCGGCGGGCTCTCGCTGTCGAACACCGTCCGGTTCGGCGGCGGTCGCACGCAGTTCTGGTATATCTCGCTTTCCTGGAATCCGAGGAATTCGTTGGGATTAGTTTCGGTGTTTTCATGGCTGATAGAGAAATTATTGATCGGGCTGAGTTTTGGTGGATCGTGATACTGGAACCAGCGTACCAGACAAAATCACTGGTTTCGGGTGCCTTGTTTCGCGATTGTTGGTAGCTTGAAAGTACGAAATGTTTGAAAAGATTTTTAGGATAAATAGTTTCAAAGTTACAATGTTTAGAAGGGATTGGTGTTAAATGTATTAAATTGTTGGCAGTTGTAGCGTTAATACTAGGTTTACGAGCATTTGTCGCACAATCCAGTCTATTGTTCCCAGAAAAATTGACGTTCGTTCATTTAAATCTAAGAATTGACGTAAAATTCACTAATAAGGATTATAATCGACATGTACCATATCATAGTTATAACACTCGATGTGCGTCACATTGACGCGTTTCGCAAACCTAGCGTTAATACGGAACGAGTTGCTCTGTTGACGGATTATAGTCTTAAATGATAGTATAGACGTTACTGTTGAGGCTTTTAGGCTGCACTTTGGAAAGCTTCCTACGTCTCTGAATAAATAAAAATATGCAAAAATTAGGAACGAGGAAAAATATTCTCAGATGTCAGCGGTGTTCATTTCGCAAACGTCTTTTTACGCTCAACGCTGCGTTGCTTTCACCAACTGTATAATAGTTTCAATCTCTTCCTATTGTATTCTAATTCACCGGCCATTAATCCAGAAGATTTCAATTGCAAGCAGTAACATGAGTTATGACCAAATATTTGAGCAGCCAACCCATCAGCGCCGCATCTCATATTTTCCATTTCTCAATTTCTCACTTTCGAGCCTTTAATCCCGCTTTGGTCTAGACAAATTAAACAAACATCATTATAATCTACATCTGCCTCAAGTTTCTCGCACGGCAAAACAAACCGAACTCTTTAGCTGCGTCACTAATTATGCTCACGCGAGTGTTCGCGAGTAATCGTCGAGCCAACAGGTTAACGACTGTATAAAATCGACCGATGAAAGTCTCTAAAATCTCGAATGCCGATCTACGATCCCCTTTATCCAGGCATCTTGTCCGGAGCGCAACGTCGCGAAAAATTCGCCGTGCAACAAGAAAATCGAAAATTATCGATGATCGCCGGCCGAACGTGTTCGAAGCCAATCAAGTCGGAATACCAACCGTGACCCCGGCGGTCGTTTAATATTCGCGAACGCTCGCCGATGACGAAGCGCAATAGGAATCGGTGTAGCGAACACGGGAATCCGCTCGCGTCGCCGAACAGCCGCGAATAAATAAATATTTTTTTCGGTCATTCGCCGGACGCCGCGCTAGAAACGCGGTGTCGTCGCTCCTTAGACGTCAACGGGTTGCGACGCGCCATCAGGGGCGTAGGATTACTGAAATTCTAACCGGTGACCCTCGAAAATGCGCCTCGATGCTGCCGGCATCCACAGGGTAGAACACGAGACCGTTTTCGCGTCTCTGTGGATGGAATGTTCTCGGATATGCGGCTCGTTGGGACACGAAACGGCCGATCGTGCGATTAACCCCGTGGCGAATGTCTAAACGGTACGACAGAATTGTTCTCCGAAGAGTTTGGGGTGTAATTTACGGCTTGAGCTGGTTAAAATTTGTTAAAAACAATTTCGAATATATATTGAAGAATTTTGTTTAATTTCTACTGTGTCATTTGAAAGATTCTAATACTTATGGTTTATAAAACGAAAATAGAAACAATAATTTAGTTTAATGTTTGTCTTCTTCTTTTAACTTATTTCAACAAATGTTGATATATTTTTTCATATTCAAAATATTTATCACGAAACGTCTGTACTCTATATTTTAACAAGACTTCAAAGAAAAATCCAAACGTCAGATGAAACCTAAAACTGCAGAACTTCGAAACTTCTTTCATTTCCCAAAAGAAATGTCAAAACACGGCTAGGATCAAAGGGTCCGAGACTAGAAATCATCCTTGAGGAATGAAAGCGCACTCGGGTGCACAAAAATGCATCAAAGAATCCCCAAGAACGGTCCGTGACTCACAGAACAGTATGCTCGTCGGCTACGGTGTGAATAGTCGATCGACTGCTCGCGACGTTTCGAGATATCGAACGTGGTATTAGCCGTTGCCGGGATCCCCGGGGGAAATCAAGTCCCGTCGAAGAAACCCGATTAACCGCCTCGAAAAAGCTCTGCTCCATCGGGAATATTTTAAGAGGCGCGCGCGTTACGCGCCCGGCACGCTAATTGCGCCTTAGAATATTCCGAGCCAATTAGCGCGTTCGGGTCGACATTAATTACGGTGAATCCAGCGCGAAGAGGTGGGATGGGAACGGACGGACGGACGGACGGACGGATGGATGGATGGATGGATGGATGGGGAAATCGACACTCGAGCGGTATCTAACGATCCCGAAAAATTGGCGAAACAGATCTCGCGCGGACCCAGCGTTTAACGACCGACTGAGTTTTCAGCAGCTCTTCAGACTAGCGTTGTAAAAAGTTTGAGTCCTCGAAGCTTCGAGGTTCAAGCTTAAAGGTGGAGTCTTGAAGGCTCAGATTTATGTGAACATTGAGTCTTCGAAGCTTCGAGGTTCAACCTTAAAGACTGAGGAGTCTTGAAAACTTAGAGTTCTATTAAGAACGAGTTTTCAAAGTTTCAAAGACTAGCTTTAACGATCAAGTCTTCGAAGCTTCAAGTCTCAATCTTAAAGGCTGAGAAGTATTGAAGACTTAGAGTTCTATAAAGACTGAATCTTCAAAGTTTCAAAGACTAGCTTTAACGAAGTCTTCGAAGCTTTAAGGCTCAACCTTAAAAGCTGAGGAGTCTTGAAGACTTGGAGTTCTATAAAGACTGAATCTTCAAAGTTTCAAAGACTAGCTTTAACGAAGTCTTCGAAGCTTTAAGGCTCAACCTTAAAAGCTGAGGAGTCTTGAATACTTAGTCTTAATGGAACTCTAAGTCTTCAAGACTCCTCAGTTTTAAGGTATTCAGAGTTTAAGTTTAACTTTTAAGAGTCTTCAGAGTTTCAAAGAACAACCTTAAAGATCAAATCCTCAAAGTTTCAAAGACCAACCTTGAAAGCCGAGTCTTCAAAGCTTCAAAGACCAACCTTAAAGACCGAGTCTTCAAAGTTTCAAAGACCAACCTTAAAGACCGAGTCTTCAAAAGTTCAGAGCTGAACTTTGAAGTTTTGTAAGTCTGTTGCTATATTAACACCATATTGACACAGTATCCATATACCAATAAACGACTCGAGTCTTCGAACACAAACATTTGAGCATCGAAGACTTCAATTTCTACAGCTCAGATCTTCAGCTACAACCTCCAATACTCAAGGGCGAGAATTCATTGTTACAGCACTAAATGAAATCGATTCCACCATTAGACTAACATAAAATTCCCTATTTAACACTAAAACTACCGATCAGTTAAACAGACTTTTTGAAATTCTATAGAAACTCTAAGAGTGCATCTATCGAGACTTCAATTGATTTACAATTGTTTGCGTCCTAAATCAATTTCTCTAATAATTTCTCAGAGGAATATCTGTTATCTTTTTAACAATTGCAAAAAGAAGAAATCATAAATGGTCCATCTGACATGTCTAGTAAGTTCAGCATTAAAGATCTCTAGCTCATTGCGAGTTTTTAATGTTACTGGAACGTTTCGTGTTATCTTCTTACTAATCGCAGAACCAAGACATTAGGAATGGGTCATTTTGACCTATCGGGTAGTTTTAATATTAAATGAACTCTTCACGTAGAATCCAATAACAAAAAGTCTTTCCGATGAATTGAGCACCCTGTGGAACACAGTGAGACCAACGGAGCTAATTACCGTGGCATACAGTTAATGGACACCAGGAGCCGCGATGTTAACGGAGGATACGAAAAGTGGGGCTAAAACGCGCGACTCCAGGTCCGCTCAACACCTGCGAATCGACGGCGAACACACGCCGAGTGGAGCGCGGTGGTACGCGGACCGTGGACAATTTATCCATTTTTACACGCGTTATTAACCCCGGGCGACCGACGCTTCTTCGAAAACGCGCGCTTATTACCGGCCGGCTGATCAACGCCCGGTTTAATTAATGGAACCGGGATATATTGAAAAACTTCTGTCGCGTTTGTTTTGAACGAACGCTGGGGTAGTTCGCGCGGTAGAGAATTGTTCCACAAATTTTGTTTTAGGGGTTTTAATTTTGCTGATACGATATGTGGTCGGGGATCGGCGATGCGGATATATTCGGCTGCAGGCAAATGTACACGATAGAAATGCAAATGGTAATGGATTAATTAATTTTTTACTTTAAATTCTCCATACGATGAAATAACTGCCCAGAGGGTTGCATTGTGGATAAAGATTTTCATTTCAGTAAATTGTACTGTAATAATACGATCGATACACTGTTCCGTCTCTGTAGAAACTGCTTACTAATTTTCACCACCGAATTGCATAGTTAATGCATTCAGAAAGCAACACAACTTTTACGAAATTTAATTTTTATTTCATTCCTACCCTAACGAAACCATAGACGAAGTCTCCATTTAACTCTTCCATTATTCTAAATTAGTCCCTATAAATATATTCTCATTCGCATGAAAATCCCCATTCCAGTGCAAGATAATCTGTTCCAAAAGGGCCGAATTTTGAACTTAACCCTTTGCGCTCCTATGTCGAGCGTGAATCATCAGTTTTATTCACAGGTGTGATTCTTTCTCAAGAGATTTCTAACCCTCTACGGACTGAATGTTTTTAGTATGAAATTAATAAATATCAACCTATAAATACAAATTAACAATGAATTGAATAGTTTCAATAATTTCATTGAAACGAATATACCTTGTAACTTCGAAGTTACAATAACGTTCAGTAAACTTGCACGAGCCTATAGAGGGTTAAAATATTATGTTATTATATTATTTTCAATACTATTAGTAAGAAGAAACACTGCTCCTTACAAACTATTTTTTCAAATGCGTTTCAAATGAGATACCGTGATAATGCACCGAGTCATCGGGGAAGAAATGCAAAAGAAATTCGGAGTGCAAAGGGTTGGAGCCTCAAGGCAGGGGATAATTTTAAAATTAGAAGTTGGGAAAATGCGCTGAGTGTACCTGCTCGGGGTCGCGCAGATGGAGGGCGGTGTGCGCTCCGTACGGACGCTCCTCGCCGTCCGGAAGTTGGAGCCGCGGGGGTAGGTCGAGGGCGAGGTCCTGCCGGACACTTCCGGCGCGGATCGCCCTATCCCTGGCGGCGGCGACCATCGCTTCCTGCATCCCGTCGGTGGCTCCTTCGCCGACTCCGCCGCCTCCTCCGCCGCCGCCGTCGCCCACGCCGGCGCCACCACCGCTCGGATCACCCTCCAGTCCACCACCGAGGCCACCGTGACCGCCGCTGCCTACCTCCATTCCTGGGCTCACCGACAGCATCTGGAAAATCAAACGAGATTTCGAGTTGAAACAATCCCTTCTGATATTCTGATCTTCGATGCGATAGCATTTTAACCCTTTGCACTCGAGAGGCGACTCTCGGTGGCCATTCGATTGAACGCAGCAGAATTATAAAGTGAGGAATTCAATGTAAAATTTTGAATAAGGTATTAACACATGAAACAGAAATAAAACAATTCTGCCCTATGATTTATAGATGTTTCTTTATGTAAGTTGCAAATAACATTGTTCATATCTCGTCAGAAGATAATGAATGTTTGTAATGAAAAATGTTGTCGAGTGCAATGGATTAACCCTTTGGCTCCTGCGCTCGTATATAATTCTGTCGTAGCCAAAGGATTAACCTTTTGCGCTCGAGAGACTTTCGGTGGCCATTCGATTGAACGCAGCAGAATTATAAAGTGAGGAATTCAATGTAAAATTTTGAATAAGGTATTAACACATGAAACAGAAATAAAACAATTCTGCCCTATGATTTATAGATGTTCCTTTATGTAAGTTGCAAATAACATTGTTGATATTTCGTCAGAAGATAATGAAAGTTCGAAAAATATTGTCGAGTGCAAAGCGTTAACACTTTGCGCTCGAGAGGCGACTCTCGGTCGCCATTCGATTGAACGTAGCAAAATTATAAAGTGAGGAATTCAATATAAACTGTTGAATAAGGTATTAACACTTGAACTACCGAGCATTTAATACGATTAATGTGTAATTCCTATAAAAATTGTAAGAATAGATTATTTCCAGTTTCTTCAGACATTCATTGTATTATTTAAGTGAGACTATTTATTTTTACGATCGATTCGGGTATTCAATCGTTTTAACCATTTTTACTGGTACGGTAAAAGGTTAATCTTTTGCGTACTAATGTATTAACTTTCGTATTTAGAATGTGAAGCCGCAAACAAATTATTTCATTTCTTGAACAGCAAGTATTTAGTTTCCGTTTTCAATATTATCTAAGCATTTGATGTATAATCTGGCTTCATTTGCTGACGGTTTTCTATAGTTCGATGAATCTTCGTCCGCGAAGGGTGAACCCTTAGCACTCCACCTGATTTTATAATTTACCAGCAACCCGAAGACATTTTTACAGTACTCGTGAAGAATATGAAAAAATATTATAACATTTCTCAGATTTTCTGTTTGTTCTTAGAGAAAGATTTGCGTATGCAGTAAATGGATTAATCGTAGGGTAATCTTTTCACTTTTGACGGTGGAAATATTTAATGTTATAAGTGGTAGTAGAGGGCATAGAGTGCAAAGGGTTAATAAGGTAACCCTTCTGGTTCGATTAATACGGATGATTTAATTAATGTGAATTTTGATCTTTGATACGATAGTATTTTCAATAGAGTAAACCTTTTGATTCGATTAATACGGATGATTTAATTCATGTGAATATTAATTAGTTAGTAAATAGTAAACGGCTGGGTACATATACAATTGAGTATACTGAATTTATAATGCAGATTTCGATGAATCTTTAACGGTCCGTTTTTACGAAAATAGTTTGACCGAAGTGAATTATGTAGTCTCTCTAACGTTAATCTTGGTACTTATTTTTTCCCCTTTGATTTACTCAGTGCAACCTCGTGCTTTGTAATATCGATCGAAACTCGTGGCGTAGGTTCCGGTTTAATAAACACGGGTATTATTCATTTATTTGCAGTCAAAACAGAACGTCGCTTTCGTGTAATCAATATTCAATATTCAGAGTAAACATAACCTTACAACGAAGGTAGAAATCTTTCTACCGCGAATAATGATTCTTTCATTTATGAAAGATAGTAGAAATAATTAGTAATTGTTTAGGATCACAGTAGCCATATCACGCTATGATCTATCTACTTGTGTTGCAAAATACTTTTATTTAACACGTTGAATGCCGTGGGGGTCATTGGTGACCCCCAAACAAATCGAATTACTATAGTTCATTCAATTAAACGTTGATTATTTGAAAACATCTCTATATTATAAATAATACTACATAATGCGGTGACATTCAGCTAAATGAACATGTAATAATAATAACACAATTCAATGAAATGATTTGATATTATATTTTTTCCATTTTGTGTATTTTGCTATATGAAATAGTGCAGCGTTCAACGTGTTAAAATCAAGTTTCTTATTGTAATTGTTGTTCAGCAATTTGTAAGCTCCGGCCATTGGAACACCGTGGCAGTCAACGTGTTAACCCTAATCGTACCACGTGTTTTTATAACGAATCATACCACGATGAGACTCTCAGTCACTTATGAGAATAAAAGGAACGATCAAGATGTTATTGTTTCCGTTTATAGAGTTCAAATTTTAAAAGCCTAAAGAAACTTTTGAAAATGCAATATGAAATAATCAAGAAATTTAAGTAAAACATTCAAATGTGACTCAAAGTCACATCGTGGTGCGATTAGAGTTGAAGAATTCAAATTTCCCGAAAGAAAGTCACCCCGAGCAGAAATCGCACGCGTGTACCGCATCCCGAATTCGACCGGCCCGGCAATTAATAATTTATCAACCACCTGCGGTTAGCGTCGCTCGACGCATTACCAGCGGAAATAACCGGAGAGAACACTTAACCTAACGACAGTGTCTTGAGAACGGTAAGTGGACCGTTTCCACGGGCTACTAAATATCGTAACCGTGCCGCGGACCTGTCGCGAAACTCCAACCCTCTCGGAGCACCTACGCGCCGAAAGGGTGGTAGATCGTCGAATGTGCGCTGCGACTCGTGTAGAATTTTATAAACATTATTTGCTAAATAGTATTTATTATTAATTAACACGTTGGATGCCATGGAGGTCACCGGTGACCTCAATCAAATCGAATTACTACAATTCATTCGATTAAACGATGATTATTCGACAACTTTTCTATATTACAAGCAATACCACCTAATGCAGTGACATTCGACAAGATAAATCTGCAAGAATAATAACGTAATTCAATTGCATAAGTTGATGTCACATTATTTTTATTTTGTATACTTTTCTCGGCAAAATCGTGCGGCACTCAACGTATGAATAATAATATTTGCTAATACGAATCCTAATCGTCTACGCATAAACCTCAAATTTCCGAAATCTAGACGAACGAATATCAATTTTTCTAAAAACAATAGAACAAACTGTACAATAAATGTCTGTAAATCTAGCGTTAATATATAAAACATTGCAATAAAATAGTTTCCTTCCTGAATTTATATGTGAAGTTAGTTTCTCGTTAGAAAACGTCGAGCATTTCCAATGAAACACTTTTGGAGTGCGAAAGGTTAACCCCTTGCCGTACAATGACGAGTGAGACTCGCGATGAAGATTTCTAAATTAATTTAATAATCAAAGCTGTTCATGACCCACGGAGAGGAAAGATCTATTTTGCTATTATCAATGTATTGTCTTCAAATGAAATGTCCACTTGAAGTAGAATGGAAAATTTTGTTACATTTCTTCTAAATCGTTGATAGTAAAATAACCACAAGCTTAGTAAAGTAAACAGTACGCCAAGGGGTTAACCCTTAGCGCTCCAGGTTGTTTTGTAATCTATCAGCAACTGAAACTAATTTTTATAGTCTTCCTAGCGAAAATGAGAAATGCTATAACATTTCTTCGATCTTTTATTTTCCATCTCAGTATAAAATTCGGATATGTGGAAGATCTAATAATTTTGGGGTACTTTCCTTAAGATTCATTAAAATATTTAATATTATAACTGGTGCAATATTGGAGCCTACAGAGTTCAAAGGGCTAATTAGTCGCTAACAAAAAATGTTCCCAAAGTCGATCTTTATTTAGGGCGTTTTTAGGTGTCGTCCGCCTATAAGCGGACCGCTGTCTTCCGGCGTCGGTTTACGATCAGGGCCCGGCTCGTATCCCGCGGAATAAGATAACGATACGAACGCAATCTAAAACCGGAACCCGACGCGTTTGTCGCGCGTAAAAGTTTTAGGGAGCCGCACCGGCGGCGACGAGCGGATTTTTATCGTGTCGGTACGGGAAATTTTCGCGTATCGATCGTAAAACGTGGCGGACGATTGAAAACCGGCGGATTCTTATTGGATCCCGCCCGCCCGTCCGGCCCGGATTACGCTCGACGGATTCTATCGCGCGGGATTTGTTTATCGGAGCTCGACTAGCGGACGTTGATTGGGGAATTTTAATGTCGGTCGCGATTAATGGCCGCGTGGTGTTATAACGGGTTCGTTTCAGTTTCATTTTCGTTGAGAATTGGGTTTTCAAGATTTCGCGATGGAAATTCGTAGAATTCGCTGGGAAATAGGGATATTTTTATATCTAAGGTTTTATATCTGTATAAGATTATTATCTAATATATATTTAGAAGATTTTGTACCTATACAAGAAATATTTAAATATCTTCGAACGGTAAAAAGTGTAAATAAAGTCGGAAACGATGTGAAAAATGGCTCTTAATATGGAGCACCTAGGGAATTTTGAAAGAAAATGATTTTTATCGTGAGAAATGAATATTTGTGGGATTAAAGAAGATAAATACATTGAAAGAAGTAAATTTGTAGCAAATTGCTTTCGAATAGTGAGCAACGAACATGTTCAATGATGAATCTAAGCTTTTGGCTTATCTGTATTAAGATATTTGATTATTTTCGACTTTTAGAAAATTTAGCGTACTACTAAACGCAATGCTTCGCATTTAATGGCAAATCGTTAATTGATGTCCAGCTATTAATATGTTTTCTATTAGTAATGACGTGTCTCCCATGGTAGACATATCAAGCTATTTATTTTCCGAAATATTGCGTTGTTCCACACTACCAGCTCTTTCATATTAGGCGCCTTTACCCCATTTGTGACAGTTCTACATTTCACACAAACGAAATTAAATTAATTTTATAGACATTGTTGGTTAAAGCTACAAGATACGGTATTATATTTAAAAACTCAACGACTCGTTTCAGTTCCATTTTTCCGATACTTTGTTTACACCATCTATATTGAATAAAA